CTTTCCCTAGTCTAATCAGTAGCGGAGCACACACTGACATGTCCTCTCTCCCCGTTCTGCCCCCACCTCAAAGTTATTACTTTTAAAATATAAGAAAATATTATGAAACAGAAGACATTACATGAGTTAGACCTAAAGGAAAATTCATTTTAAAATAAGACAGGTTAATCAAACAACCTAACAGGAACTGATTTTGGACCAAACAGATTTTTGCACATGCTCTTCTCTGGAATTTATTTACTTAAAACTTTAAATTTTCTTTCTAAGCTTATTCAACATGGTTTTTTACCCTTCGTCACTGCTAAAAAGTACTGGCAATGACTGCAAGCACAAAAACCAAGCAAAACAGATAAATTAAGCTATGGAAAAGGTTTACTTACAGTGAACACCACTTTCAGGTTGTTGAGCATATCAATTTCCTTTGGAAAACCTCTACTTCCCCATCTTACTAGGTAGTTTTCACTGTTTAAGGAAAGAAATTATATTTCTGTTCAAGTTATTTAAAAATTTGTCAACATTTGTCAAGAAGTACCATAAAAAATGCAGGATGAATACTGAACAGCACCAAAAGTACTGGTATTTCCCTCCCATTAGGATAGTCTAAAGAAAATGCTGTGTTGTTTGTATCCAAAAGCAGGACACCAAAATGATTTTAAAAGAGCAAAACAAAAGGAATATACTTCTATTGCTTCTTTTTGAACAAACTTTATTAGTTCAATATATTTTCTCTCTCTCTTCCCCCCCTTCCCCAAATATGGAGGTTAGAGCACATTAAAAATGGCCATCCAATCTAACTTAGTTCACCCAGGTGTGGACCTTATACTAGTTAGGTTGATCTAAATGCAAACTGTATAGAAGTTCAGGACAGTTAGATGGGTCTAAAAAAGGCCGACCTGATCTAAGTTAACCCTACCTCTGAGATACGAATCAACTTAGATTGGTTAGGCTTGTTTTACCAGCATTTGCCAGTTCCAGGAGCTGTACGAGTTGGGGTAGGGGAAGAGGTGGGTGGGAATCAAGGCAAGTTGGTTCACAGGCGGGGGGGGCGGGGAACAGGACTGTTTATCTGGGCATTGGGGCTAAAAATAGCCCCTGGTACTGAGGAGTGGGGAAAGAGAGCCCCCTGTCCCCTCAAGCTCCCCCGATCCTGTTAAACCCCGCCCAGATACCCTAATCCTCCCTGTGGACCCCATCTGCCCCTTAACCCCCTCACAGACCTTGCTTTCCCCCCTAATTCCCTGATCCCCCCCCATGAACCCTACCTGACCTTCTTTGAACCTGCTTTTCCCTCAGTCTCCTGCACCTCCCCATCCCAACTTACTTTTGATCAGGTGGACATTTTTAACTCAACCTAACCTCCTCTTAACCTCCCTGAGGCCTGTATGTTAGGTGCTCCATCACACACTGCGTGGTGCATGGTGTTGGCTTTGAAATAGCATTTAAAGGTCTGTTTTTGGGGGGGAATTGGCTTATAGGTATAGATATATATATATATATAAAGGGTTCAAGATGTGTAGCAGGAATTAATTGATTTAAGTATCTGGGTTTCACACACACAGTTTCATATAGCCCTGGAGGTAAACAGGTTGTCTAACACAACAAAGCCAATGGATGGACATGGCCTGAGAATTGAAGGGGCATATACTATACTGTCTAACACAACAAGGTCAACAAGGACACAAAGTCTGGGATCCAAGGGACTATGTACAATACTGCCCATAACATGGGATAAGTGGCACCAGCTACAAGGCCTCAGAGCAGGGGGGGATGAGTCCCAGTTTTGGGGGAACAGACCAAATTAGGAGAAGGCCCAGAAAGCTATATGGATGTGTGACCACAGAGACAACCAACCAGAGATAGCCACAGATGAAAAGTCATCAGGAGTCGGAAGGGAAGGAGAATACAAAGGCAGAGACTTGAGAGTAACAAAAGGGTCCCTCCCTGTCTGTCCTTTCTGTCCCTCCCTGTCCCACCTGGGTTCCTCCTCCTTCTCCTCCCTGAGAGGGGTCCCATCCTCATCCCACGGGAAGGGTCCCTGAGGCCACCATGGACTGAGGGCATACCAGCAGCCCATCTCATACACCCCACTGGAGGGGGGGCTGTGGGCCTCAGCATCCCACCTCCAGCCTACTGACACCTAAGAGAAAAAGCCTCACAGTGGAGCCTGCATCCTGACCAGATGTACTTTGACTCTGATGACACCTCTAGGATTTGTAGATATAGAATTGTTTGTTTGTTTGTATTGTTTTGTGTTTTGTGGGGGGGGTTTTGGGAGGGGGAGGGGTTGTTATCACTGTGTATCAATAAATTTGCCTATTATCAAATGGAAAGGTTGTGATCAGTCTGAGGGTTGTGCTTGCCCGGAACAAAGGTATAAGGGCTGGGTCCTAAATCCAGTGCCAACACATGGGTCCACTTGGGACCCAGAGGCAGCACCAGAGACTGGATGATGTGGCTCTGTGGGCTCAATGCAACCTGTGAGCCTCACCTTGTGCACATAATCCTGCAACAATGGAAGTGAACTAAATTGCCCCAAATTGGACCCTAGATGAAGTAATGTTCATGTTGAAGTTGAATCACTACAGTCTCATACACAGTAATAGTTATAGTGCAAGAGCTACAGCACAGTCCTATGCAGCAGCTCCCCATGCCTTGTAAAATGCTACAAGTGTACAAGGAGAATGTATAGCATTTGAAAACTTGTCTACGTCTATCTCAACCATGAAACTGGGCCAATCACCCACAGAAATCCTTGCCTCTTACAAGTGTCCAAGTTGGTTCAAACCTTGAATTTACCTGAGACACAGTACCCACTAATACCTGAACCAGCTTGGAACAAAAACTGCAAATCATTGTACTTATATAGTTTCAACTGGCTAATTGCCTGTCAAGAATGATGAGTGGGTGGTGCGGGCAGGGACAGAGGCCTGTGTCTCACTACCCCCACCCACCTTCAGGGCCAGGTCCATTCCCCCTTTCCTCCACTCTACCATGGGGCCAGGCCTGGCCTTTCCACCCCCCCCGCCACTGTTGCGGGGCTGGGCCCACCGCTTCCCTCCCCTCCCCCACCTCCCCACTGTCGTTTCCAGGCCGGGTTGGGCCCAATGTGCACCCCCACCATACCCTCTGTTTTGGGGCCAGGCTGGGCCCAGTGTGCCCCCCACCATTGTTGTGCCAGCACTGGGCCCACCCCCCTACCTTCCTCACTGCTGTTTCAGGGCCAGAGCAGGCCCAGAGCACACCACCCAGTCTCCCTGCCACCATTTCAGGGTTGGGCCCACTCCTCCCATGCCCTCACCCCACCAGCATCGGCCTGGGTGTGCTGCTTTCCACCCCCTACTGCCATGGCAGGCTGGCTTCTCCCCCCCCACCACCTCAGGCTGCTCCTTCCCTCTCCCTGCATTGGGAGGGAGCAGCACATGACAGAGGCACTGCTGGCCTCACTCCACTGCCCTGTGGTGTCCCAACCCCCCGCCCTCCCCCGCGCCACTGCCACCTCCAAGAAGAAAGGAGGTGCCTCGCTGGCCTCACTCCCCGCATTCTGTCCTCTCCATTGCCACTGTGTCCCCACCATCATGGCAACATTCCACCGTGACGCCACCTCCTGTCCAAACGCTGTATTTGCACTCTGACTGGTTGTTTCCATAAGCCAATCAGAGTATGAATAAAGCATTAGGGACAGAGAATGAGGCTTTTATAATATTAAGTGGTTCTTGATACTCTGGTCATCTCCTCCCTCTTGTGTTTCTACTTCCTGTGGTTTCAAGTGCCTGGCTCAAACTCTTAGTGACAAAGACTGTTCTTTCATTGCCTGAAAATAAACTACCTAACACAATGGCAACCAATCCCAAACTCTGCCCTGGAAGTGCTACCCCATCCCTGTGCTACTAACTTCTGAAAAACTGGAGAGGGTCCTGCTAAGAGAAATTGGAGCATTTGGATATAAATGATGGTGGCAGTGAAGGAAAAAGACAGGGAC